AAAAGGAAACGACGGAAGCATTATTTGTCATCCAAAGGATGCTTAGCACCACGGAAGGGTTGATGCCTTTCAGTTCGGCCACAAGATGGCAGCATGGGCCCACCCATGCCTGCCTTTGATGGTTGCTTTCTTAGCGAGGGGAAACTACACGTTTTCACTTGCAGTTCTAAATCCAGAAGGGTCTCAAAAAGGAGTCTGAAAACATGAGGTCATTTTAAAAGTAACCTTAATTTTAACATCATCGGTAAGAACTTTGGAATTCTTGCGTTCATCGATGTTCCCCCTAGTAGCTCTTTCTGCTCTGTATATTTAAGAAAAGTTAGCCTGTAAATACACGATACTCCTTGGGTCTGAACGTCTCAAGTGGTCATTATATGTGATGGCTAATCCTGGGTGTCAACTTGACTGGATCTGGGATTAACTGAAATGAGAGAGATCTTCTTGACTGGATCATTTGAAGCTGGAAGACCCACCTCACTAATTAAATAAATTGTAACTATATAAACAAATAAACAAAAATACAAAACTCAGTGAAAAGCTCAGTCAGTATGATTTTGATATGTAACTTGAAAATCTAGGTATATTTATTTAAAATTTTCATAAGGTTTACCAAAATTGTGGATTTAGCAATTTTTGAATGAGTCTCTACCTGTGTTCATAGGTAAGGACTAAGAAAATTTAACTGGAAGTTCTCTGTGGGTGCCTCTGGGAGAGGTCACTAGGATACTCCTATATTTAGGGTGTAACGTGGCAGAGTTCTTAATCAATCATTAAGAACTTGGGGAGTGAACGGGACAAATGGGAGAACTGGGAAGGAAAAGAGAGTAGGGGATGTGGTAGGAGAATATGCTCAGACTACATTCTATACTTCTTTAAAAATGCTTTATGCAACCCAGTACCATTTACAGTGAGTATATGCCAATAAAAAGTAACTCCCAGTTGCTTTAAATACAGTGACAGTTATTGTCAGGAATACCACAAGTATTTAAAGTTTCTAACAAAAGGTGTAATGGTAAAAGAATACTATCTCGGGGATGGAGAGTCAGCTCAGCGGTTAAGAGCATTGACTGCTCTTATAGCAAACCTAGGTTCGATTCCCAGCACTCACATGGTGGGCTAACATCCGTTCTAACTCCAGTTCCAGGGGATCCGAAGGCCTCTTCTGACCTCCCTGGGCATTGCATGATGTGGGTGCACTTACACAAATGCAGGCAATACACTTATACACATACAAAAAATAAAAATAATAAATAAAATATTTTTTTTAAAAAAGAAAACTAATGGGGCTGGAGAGATGGCTCAGCAGTTAAGAGCACTGACTGCTCTTGCAGAGGACCAAGGTTCGATTCCCAGCACCCACATGGCAGCTACGAACCGTCCTTAACTCCAGTTCCAGGGGAATCCGAAGCTCTCT